GGATGGCAGTGAGGAGTCGGTGCCTGCGGCGCCCGCCATGTCCCAGCGGCAGCTGCTGCGCCAGCGGCAGCAGGAGCGGCAGCGGCGGCAGGAGCAGCGGCTGGGCGCCGCCGCCGGGGCCGACGGCGAGCAGCAGGCCGACAGCGCCAACCGCAAGCGCAAGGAGATGCGGCCGCCCGAGGCCCGCCCCAAGGGGCGCGGCAAGCAGGACCGCACCACTTACAAGCTGACGGTCTCATACTATGGCCCCGCCTTCGATGGTTGGATGCAGCAGCCGCCGCCCGACGCGTCGGTCGAGGGCGAGCTCGCACGGGCGCTCGCGCCGCTGCTGGGCGGCGCGCGGCCCACCCTCGCGTCAGGCGGCCGCACCGACAAGGGCGTGTCTGCAGCGGCGCAGGCGGCGTCGTTCCCAAGCTGGGCGGATCTGAGCGATTGCCAGATCGAGGAGGCGGCGGCGGAGATCTCGGCACGGGCAGAGGCACGCCTGCGGGAGCGGCGGCAGCGTCAACAGCAGCAGCAGCAGGCGGAGGAGGAGGAGGGCGAGGATGCTGCGGCGCAGGAAGGGCTGCGGCTGGCGCCGTTCAGGGTGGTGCGCGTGCAGCGGGCACCGCGGTCGTTCCACGCGACCTGGTCCGCGGACTGGCGGCGGTATGTCTACCTTTTCCCTCTGCGGGCCGCGGCGCACGGCGGCGGATGCAGCGGCAGCGGCAGCAGCAGCGGCAGCGGCGACGGTGCAGCCAGCAGTGGCGGCGGAGGCAGCAGCAGCGGCGGCGGGAGCGGGGGCGCGCCGGATTGGGGGCGCTGCCACGAGGGCAAGTGCCCGGGGTGCAACCCTGAACTCCTGCTGCCCCATGAGGCGTCCGAGGTTGACTCGTGGGAAGCTGACCCGGAAGCTGTGGGGAAGCTGCTTGCTGGCCTGGAAGGGCGGCCGCTGGACTTCCATGCGTATGCCAGAGACACACCCAAGGGTGCGTGGGTGCCGAGAGGGTACACCAGCGCCTTGATAACGCCCCAGGCATCAGAGGGAGACGGCATCTGCCGTCAGCAGCAGCGTGATCTGAAATTGTTGCGTTGACCATTGACTTCCTCGGTGTGCTTTGCTGGGGCCAAGAGGCGCCGATTAAACCTACTCTCGTTCCAGCCCTCTGCCAACACGCCCGCGTTCCTCACCTGGCCTGCACACAGGGAAGCCCTCCGTCTGCACGCTGCACGTGGCGCGCGCCAGCATTGTGCGCCTGCCGGCCTCCCGTGACGCGACGCCCGGCCACGGCGGCGCCGCCGCCACCGGCGGGGGCGAGAGGGCGCTGTGTGTCGAGCTGCTGGGCGACCGGTTCCTCAGGAGGCGAGCGCGGGGAGGGGAGAGCTGGAATCGGATGTAGCCCTGATTCATTGTGACAGCGTGGTGGCATCCTAGGGCCGCACCTACAGCACACCTCTGCCGTTTAGGTCTGCCTGGCGCGGGTCGCGGCCGCGCCCGGGCGCAGCCCCACCCCCCGGCCCGCCGTGACCCGCCGCGCACGTCAGCTGTCCTCCGCGCCCCGCCGCAGTCGCTTGATCCCTGGCGCGGACCGCCGCCCCACTCGTCCCCGTGCCGTGCCAACCCACCCACCGACCCGCAGGATGGTCCGGGTGCTCGTCTCCACTGCACTGCGGGAGTCCATGCCGCCCGCCGCCGCGGTCGCCGCGAGCCACGGCCCTGCGGCCCTGCGGGAGCTCTGCGCGCGGCAGGAGCGCGTGCTCACCGGCGTGCCGGCGCCCGCGGTCGGGCTGTGCTTCGCGGCGGTCGGGGGCGGGCAGTACTGGGATGAGTGATGTGCCCGATTCGGGGCGCCGCCGCCGCGGCCGAACTCGCTTATGCAAGCCGTGACGTGCCCTTCTGGAATCTGGAAAATTTTTCACAAGCTTCATGTGTCGACATTACACCACCGGTGTGTGGGTGCCTCCACACACATCTGCACACAGTGCAACAACGTCCAATGTTCGGGCCAAGTCCTAAAGTTCCTGATTTGCAGATCAGTGAAGGCAGCTGCAGCTCCAAGCGTCACACTCCCTGCCGGCGACGAGGCAGGGTTTGCTTGTATGCAGCGGGCAGAAACGTGAGCAACATTGCACTCCTGCATGCCCGGCGGTGGCAGCATCAAACAGTTCTGCACAAGTGGAGCTGTGCCGGCTGCTTGCCGTGGGAGACAGTAGGGACATGCATGAAAAGGGCCCGGGGTGATGTAAGGGTGCAAAAAGTGAGCGGGCTTGGAGAAGGGACCAGTCGGGTGCATGGCAGCATTTGATGTGGATGACATTGGCATTTCAATGTCCGCAAAGGGTTGCGTGACACGGCTCACTTGTGTTGAATGCCGGCCTCGCTGGCGCACAAATGAGGGACTCAGATGGAGTGCAGTGATTGGAGGCAGGCAGAGCAGCAGGTAATGCACACAGTCCATCCATACAGGCCAAGCAGCGTGAACGATGCATGAGGTGCGAGCAGAATGCGGCGCAATGGTATGTGAGCATGCATAGACACATGAGACACGCAGCAATTTGACAGCAAAGGCGCAGCTGGTCCCGGGGTGTGGTTGCCCCGTGAGGGAAGTGCAGCCGGCCGCGCGAGGCGGCGCTTGCAGTTCTTGTGGTGGGCTGAAACAGAGGGCGTCCGCAGGAGGGACTGATCGCGACAAAATGTGCATGAGAGCGCGCGCGGTACCTCAGCTGCCGAGGGGCAGGAGGTGCAAAAACAGCAGCGTGGTGCTGGGGGAAAGCAGAAGATAGGTCAACAACCTTTTCAAGGCGGCGGTTGTGAAGGCGTGGATCAAAAGACGCGTGCGGCGCAGTGAATTCATCAGGCAGTGAATTCATCAGGCCAGGGGCGCGGGTTTGGGCAATCCCTTGAGCTCAGCGCTCCGTTGCAACGATCGGGCGCCGCTCGTGGATAAATCCGTGCAGCAGCAGGGGGAGGGGGTTGTTGAGGATGGGGGTGCCTGGGCCAGTAAGTGCAAGGTAGCCGAAAATACAGGCTGCTCACGGGCTGAGCAGCGCAGCATGCGCCCACGTGCCGCCGCAGGCCCCCTCGGGATGGGGGATCGAGCGGCCAAGCCCGCCCATCTAGCGGGCGCTTCAGAGGCCCCGCGCGGGGGCGGGGGCGAGGAGGGTGGCGAATCTGGCAGCGTCAGCGACGTATGAGGGCGGCACGTTGTACCCGATGAGGCTCATGGCTTGGTACTGCGCGGTGAGTGGGGGGTAGGGGGGCGAGAGGGGCGAGAGGGGGCGAGAGGGGTTACCGCTCATGATATGCCGGCGGGGTGCAGAACGGCGTTGTCGGCAGGCGTGATCGTGCGGGCAGGGAGGGAAGTGTGCCGATGCGCGCAGCAAGCGCAGTTCGTGAAGTTGAGCTGCTAGAGGCGCAGGGCGCACAGGGGGTTCGACGCGCTTTCGCGACCAGTGGTGCGCCTGTGCCCACCGCGGAGCAGAAGCCTGACAGGAACGCGGCGTTGTTTGCGGCGAGCTCGCGGGCGATCGGCGCCAGCGGCGAGTCCGAGGTCGGGCAGAAGCCCTGGCGCAGCGTGACGGCCGCGCCGGGGCGTGGGGTGGGGTAGGTGATGGCGTTGCAGACGAGGTGCATGTCGCTGCGGGGGGAAAGGGAGGGGACGCACATCATTGTTTGGGGGGGGACGTCAGGTGCAGTGCGGAGCTCAGGACAGAGTGGGAGGGGGGTGAGGACGAGGTGGTGGTTTCCCGAGGGGGAACGGGGGGCAGGCCTGCACGAGGCGCTGCACATCAGAATACCGGCCTTAACTTAGTGAGCCTCGCATGTGTCATCTTGGGGAGACAATAATGCAAAACCCTGGGTTGGAGCGCAGGCGCGGGCTCAAGCGCGCGCACCTGCAGAACCACCCTCCGTTGGGGACGTTGACACGGCCGATGTTGTTGATCAGACCACTGTAGTACGAGTTCTAGATTCATATTAGAGTGTGGAAGGGGGATGGGAGGCAGCAAGGCGCATTGGAGGGAAAACGATGAGTCAGGAGGCTGGATACATGGCTGCGGAGGCGGACTGCAACACCCGTTTGCGTGGCAGCCTGCCGTGGACATACAGTACCACCGAGCAGCTGCACGATGCTTTACACCACCCACGCAGTACCACAGCCTGAGGCCGCAACTGCCCCGCGTCAGGCGCTGCTACGCGCCCGCTCGCGAGGCCGCCCGCCGGCTGGCTTGGCGGCGGCCCACACGCGCGCACCTCAAAGGTGTTTGGCGTCGAGGTGAGGCTGCTGATGCCCTTGCTGCAGCGGTCCGGCCGCGTGGTGCGGGAGCGGCCGATGGAGTGGGCGCCCAGCAGCAGCGTGACCGCGCGGTCCAAGGTGAGGCCTACGGCGCCCACGGGCATGCCGTACCTTGGGTTTTTTTTGGGGGGGGGGTGGATGGTTGCAGGGGCAGTCACGCATTGCGGGGGCAAGTGGGGTCACAGGGGCAGGGGTGGATTGCAGGGCAGGGGAGGTTTGAAGGGGCGG